GAGGAAGAACATAACACAATGTTTAGGAGAACAGTTTGTATGTTTAACCTTTGGAAAGCTAAGTACTGTAGCTGGGCTCTCCATGCTTGATTTGCACGGGGATGGATAGAAGATAATTGAGAAGACTGAAGTAAACAATGACACTGCTGGCAAACTGAGCAACATAGATATGTACCCATAATGGCATGTCTGTTTGCCTTTGCGCCCTGGCCCTTTTATGTGCCCTGACCTTCCCACCCCATAGATAGCTAGGTAGGTGAGCAGCTCCAGCAATGAGCTGAAGGCTGTCATGACTCACTAGCGAGTTGCAATTGGCACCATTCGTATACTTGCTGCTTCCCTGTCTTCAGCAAGCTGATCCAAAATGTCCATCTGTGTTTCAGTTCTCCTTTGCCTTTGTCCAGTAGCAACTCAGCAGGCCCTGGGCACTTGCTGGTTAGATGTTCCAAGCTTAGTAACCCTCCCACTGTAGGCAGGAAGCTGGTCACTGCTTCTGAGGCAGAGGAGTTTCTGCCCTGCCTTCCCTTCTCTTTTAGCAGCACTTTGAAGCATCAGTATAGATCACTGGTGGAGGCAAGGCACTGGGCTATGTGGAGCATTGTTCTGATCTAGTGTGACTGTTCCTGAGCAGGCTGATTTTCAGGCCAGCAGGCTGGTGTGGTGTTTCCTTAGTGATAGAGTTAGGGCATCGTGGGAGTTCTAGGTATAACTTACATTCCCAGTTTTATGGGAAAGGCACAATTTAGCACCATCCAAAACAGGTGTGTAATTCCTATGTCTTCCACAGTTGAACAAGACCCTCAGCTATCCCTGAATGGAGATCCTGCTGCGATGAATACTGTGGGAAGCAGCAGGAGCCCTTTGAGTACTTCTGAAAAGCCAACAGAGGAATGGCCAGACTGGAGCGAGTCTGAAGAGCCCAAGACTCAGAAAATTGTGAACATACAGCTCCGGCCTATGGAGCCACATGGCAGCACTGGGCCCTATGTTGTTGATCATAATGTGGACAAGGAACCCTCGGACAACTTTGAGCCCAGCAGCCCTGCTCCTAAACTGTTCTCAGGAAACAGCCTCAATGCTACAAGAGTCCAAGTGCAGAGGCCACTCCCTGGTGCCCTTCAGCTGAGCAAAGAATCCAAAAGCTTCAAACCCAGTCCTCCCCCAATGTCCAGCCCTGTGAATTGCTGGAGCAATGACAGCTGGGACCACCCAGACCAGCTGAGAGAAACAGCATTCCTGGAAAGGTCTCCCAAGTCTCCATGGGAGTCTGGCTTAGGAGAAGAGTTCACAATCCAAGTGAAGAGGAAACCAGTGCGAGATCCTGAGTTGGACTGGTTTGCTGACATGACCCCAGATATTAAACCATCTGCAGCTTTCCTGATTTTACCTGAAGTGAGGACAGACTCGGTTGTTCTTAGTCACTTAAGTGCAGTTTCCAGTGGAGAGGATACCTCCCAGATAGTGCAATTTTCATCCAAATTTGCAGCAGCTGAAGTCACTGAGGTGAGAATACGGAGGGTTGGGGGGATTATATTGAGTGATGTGGTAAATTGTAGAAGGAAAAATGCATTTCAAGGGATGCAAAAATGCAAGCAGGTACTGCACAAACCTGTCACTATGCCTCAGTCCTTAGCAGCTGGGTGTCATCTGTGCAGTGCTGGCACAGTGCATGCTGCCTCAGCAGCTTCATCTAGACAGTGGATAACATGGGGGAGAGGAAGGGGTCTTTGCAGGTGAGGAAACAGGTGGACATCTTCTGTTAGTCTTAAAGGTGCCACAGGACCCTCTGTTGCTTTTTAGGTGGACATCAGTTGACTACTGTAGAGGTGCTGAATGATGCATCTTATCAGGCACTATGTCAGTTTGATCAGCTCTTGTAGCTGCAGATGTGTGATAAGAGGCACATGAAACTGATTAGTACAGTTTGGGTAAACCTGTGGCCTTTAAAACAGGCACAGTGGCTTGAGGACTAGGAAGGGGATATAAACTTTTCCTTCTAGTTCTTGAGTTCATATTTCACACAGGCCACTAAACAGCCCCTATCTGGATCTGATTGTCCTAGCCCAGCTTCTACTAGACAGGTACCTTCAACGCAAGTGTGACCTTTTAGATTCAGTGGAGTGGCCAAATATTTGAAGAGTTGGGAGTCTAAATTCCACTCTCAGCTGTAGCAGTCCTGCTACAACAGCTGAGGCACTTTGTGGGGTGCAGTGTGAACCGCATGGCATTAAATGGGATGTTTTGCTTCTGGGACTCTTTCATTAGTTATGTAATCCCTTTTAAAAGATAAACCTACTATAAAATAGGAGGGGTGGGAGGGTCTATGCACCTTGCAAATGAACTCCTCCTTTTAAATGGTTTGTACGATCTGAAAAGAGGAAAGAAACAGCTTGTCCACAATAGCCAGTGGTGCTAGAAAACTGCGCATTTTCTGTAGGGAGTTGTAGAGTGGTGTGTAATCCTGGTTTCTGTCATCACGTGCCTGTATAATGTACCAGATAGATCAAAACAAAGTCCTAGGCTGCTTATTGAACTGGGCACATGACTTGGAAGTTCTGATGGATTGTCACAGAGTCCAAGGACTGCTGCTATGTTCTGCAGCAGTGAGGGACAGGGTTATGGCTCTGCACATGGAACAGTCTGCTTATTTGACTGAGTCCTGGGCTGTGGGTGCTCCTAAGAAGGGGCGAAGCAGGAAAGGCTATTCTCCCTCCCCAAACAGCCTCTGTCTCTGAAATGGAACAGTGACCTGTCACAGCCAGTGGTAGTGCTATCAGAGCTGAGGGACTGAGAGGCTGCCTTGCAGGACAAAGCACAATCACTGTCAGTGCTAGCAGGAAAGGGAACATCCCCTACTTGCCACCAGAGCATGAAGGGTATAGAGAGAGGGAGGTGTATAGAGACCCCTTCCTCTACAGCCCTTTGGAAGGGAGGAGCCCTCACCTCCCTTAGAAATAACCGTTCCTGTGTTAATAGCATGTCTTCCTCTGCTGTGATATGGCTAAGAACAGGGGGACTGCTGCTCTTACCCCACCTTGCTGCCATAGTACTTTACTCCCATTTGAGAGTCACAGCAGTGACTGGTTTTACTCACGGAGACTGGTTTTAAACCATTGTTTGACTGCAAAATGCCTGACTCTCCTCTCTGTGTTAAATAATTGATCCAGTGCTAGCTTAAGGCACACAGCAGTGGTTTCCAAAGGTGATGTGATGTACTGATATGCCCCCCCTCCCCCACCATAGTATCTGAGCACCTAATGCATTTATCTGCACAACACCCCTGGGAGGTAGGGAAGTGTTATCAGAGGTTAGTGACTTGCCTGGGTCACGCAGGGAGTCGATGCTGGATCTCCTGTGTCTCAGGCCAGTGAGTGGCTGAACTACATGCAGCACATGGATTTTATTTTAGTTGGGGGGGAACAGTCTAAAAGCTGACCTAACTAGGACAGGGAGAACAGGCTTCACGGGGAGGGCTATTTTAATCTTAGTGCAGAACTCCATGGTGGCTCCTCACAAAACTGCAGGGAAGGGATGTATTTATGAGCCAGGCATCACTGTGATGGGCATGGCCATTGCATCCGCTGCACAGCCTGGCTCAATGGGCTAACCCTAGTACCTGTCTGTAGCGTATAAGTTCCTACCTCTGGGGTGGGAGGGTTCAGGTTCTTAGAAATGATGCACAGAACTTCTCTGCAAAGCTGTTTTACCAGAGCTTTCCAGGGGGGATTGAAACCTCACCCAAAGTGACATTTTAAAGCAGCTGATGTTAACTGCCTACCAAAGTTCCCCCTTAATGCAGTGTTTCAAGTGCTTCGTTTGAATTGTTCTGGGAGGAAGAGATGGCTTGTTTCTAAAAATAGCACATATTTGCTTATTTTTTGGTACCAGAGGGAGTAAATTATTAGAAGTGGGACAGCTGAGCTCTGCTCAGAAAAAAATATTGTCACTACAAGTACCTGTGGGTGCTCAGTGTAGGCAAAGTACAGACAGGTCTGGTCATTGATCTAGGTAAGTAGGAGCTGGTAACCCCTTTTTATTTTCAGCCCTAGTAATATTTTATTTAGGCCACTTACCGCTTCATCTACTATGTCTATATAAAGATTTAATGGGGGATGCTGGATTTGGAACTGCCTGGGGTTTAGGGTGAGAGCTGGTGATAGCCCAGCAAACCTGACACTCTTGTTGAGTCTGCTGAGGTGGTTTCTAGTACTAGTGGCCTTGGGGCAAGGACTGTCTCTCTCTCTCTCCCCCCCCCTTACCAGGCCCTTACAGAAGGGGTGCATGGCATTACAGCACATTCATTTTGCTGCTGCTTCAGCCAGTAACTGACCAGCTGTGCAGTTTACTCAAAGGCCAGAGGATTACCAAAAACCTGGGTCAGGGAGGTAGAACTCTAACAACTCTCAGCCAGCTGTGAACCAAACAGGAATTCCCCAGGACCAGGGGGCCCCATTGATGTCTGGCATAGTTCTCAGGGATTGGGTTAATGTATCTATTTTACATGGATGGATGTAGCTCTGCATGGCTGTCATCTGGTGTGTTCTTACTGACACAGTTTATGTAATTATTCTAGGCTGAAACTGCAGGCTGGGGTGAAGAGGAAGAGGTGAACTGGGAAGATGATACGAACTGGTGATGGATGGGGAAAAAACAAGGGCCGTCTATGGCCTATTGCTTCCAGGATGTGTTAGATTATTACCTCACCAACACGGCAGGCGAGAGCCCAATGCAGCCTATCTTCCTATACCAGGATGCTCCTTTTCCAGCCTGTGCTGAAGCCATATGTACAAGTGAGGTGCATAGCCCTGGCTAGTGGAAATTGGAATAGCTTGAATGGTTTGTGTGTTGGAGCTGAAAGAGTGATTTATACTTTTCTGTTTCAGGAATCATCACTGCTCTGGAAAACTCTTGAAAATAAATGAAAATTGCATTAGTTCAGATAAATTTTATTAATGTTTGTGCCATTTCTTTTTATTAGAAAAATAAGCCACAGGGGAGGGGCTCCTTTTAACTTTTTAGATGCAAACTGCAATGATTTTAGACTGTACAGTTTACTTGGATGACCTATTTATTGCTGTTCTACCAGAATGAATGGCGGGGTGGGTGCAGTGTGCTAGGAGACCATTACAAGGAAAGTGTGTTTAACACAAATTGTATCATAGCTCTAAATTCACTCTGCTCTTTAACCTGACCAATAAAGATTATTTTCAAAAGATCAGTACAGTGTCCGAGTGAAACAGCAGCTCAGGTGCCTGACTTCTCCATGAGAGAATGGAGCCTTGGTTTTTAAAATACACTCAAACTATTCACGCATTCATTGTTAACAATTTAATACAAAAGTGTCTGTCTCTGTAGATGTAACAGGGACAATTACAGTCCATTTTCTCTTACAAAAGATTCAAATACCTTACTACACAAGCCTGTTAAGCTTTCCCTGGTCCAAGTTAGAGCAGCATATGAAATTAGCTCCTTTACACAGCATGGGGTCAGTTAAATTCAACATCTTAACCCTTCCAAAAAAGTTAACACATTCAGGCACATTAAACAAAACACTATTTACAGTGAGTGAATCAAAATCAGGGTGTTTTGTAGAAGGGTATCACTGGTAACTCCCCTTATTTTCAGTTTGTTCGTTTTCCAGCTGTGATCTCCCCCAGTGTTAAGCCAGTGCTGAGCTGTTCAGTGTCTAACACCTTACCGTACAGTGTTTCTTAAGATGGCTATTGCTGCCTGTAGAGCCTCTAATTTCACTGCAAGCCAAGCAGGAGACGGTCCTTTCTGCAGCAGCAGTTTCACAGCTTCCAGTGCTCTCTCTGCAGTGTCTATAGCAGACTTGTACTGCTCCTCACAGGGTGAGTGACAAGCTCTCTTTGCCAAGGGCTGAAGATTAAAACGTGAGATGTTAAACCTCTACTATTTACTTACAATCCCACTGATACAGGCCAAATCCTCAACCTCTTAGATGAAAAATAACCCGGCCATGTAGTCACACACACAAGCCGCTTCAGCTGGGATGTTTCATGCAGGTTTCAACCTCTCTCAGTTTAAAGCCAGTGCTTAAAGCTGTGAGAATTTCTCCTAACAGTTTTATATGTCTCACTTACTGGTTCAATATAAAGTTTAGTATCCCAATTAACACAGGCATGGGGGCTCCTTTCAGTGTTGTAAGGCTGAGGGCCAACAGGTTCCCCTTTAAATGCTCCTCCTTGAGTGAGTACAGGGCAATAGGGCACTTCTTGAACCCCCCCTCTAGTAACAACTGGGGGAGAAGGGAGAGAAATGAATCCTCCCTCAGCAGAAGTGAAATCACATAGACTGTCATAAGCAAGGGCTAACAGGTTGGATAGAACTACCAGAGGCTACTGGGGCGGGCCAGGACTCCTGACTGGTACAGCTTTTCCCAGCTCCTCTGAGGTGCCTTCCCCCCCTGCTCTCTCCCTCAGCCCAGAAAGAGAGTTTGTGGCAGTTGCAAGGGCAGTACAGAGCCCAGCACGGAAGTGCAGCAGGTGGGTGAGAGCAAGACTCCCTGTCAGCTCAGGAGGGTATGCCCTCTTCACAGCAAGTGCTGGGAGGAGGACAGCGCCATTCCCCATGGATGAGGGCACGGCTAAGGACTAATACAAACCTAGTCCAGCTGCTTTCAAAGAGACACCTACCTCTAATGCTGAGCCCCATTCTCCATCCATTTTCATTTTAAGCAAGTGTGCACTGCAGACGGCCTTTTCCTGTTTCACTCGTTCTGCCCTTGCTTCTGCCGTCTCCTCTCCCTGCCTTGCCTGAGGGAAAAGCCACAGGAGCGGTAACAACAAACCCAAACACAGCAGCATTTCCAGCCTCCATGACTCCACCCCTTGACTATTACACTGTGGCAATGGAAATACTCTTTAACGTAATCTGTTTTTTATTTTTTAAACTGCAGTTCTTCAGCAAGGCTTCAACCAGCAAACGTATGGCACTAGGCTGGGAGAACAACTCAGTCTAATGTGGGCTACAACAACTATGCTGGAGCATCATTTCGTGTCTGACAGTTGCAGGTAGCAGTTGCTTTGCTGCCTCTCCCCTATGCGGTACAGTGGGCAAAAACTCCTGTGCTATCCCCTCTGAAGTGCTGCTGTCCAGTGGAAAGCTGGCACATCGAAGGAGGCAAGGGTTGTTAACAGCAGAGATGACTCTTCACCTTTTAATGGTCATGAGTTCAGTGCATTTACTAGTCCTCCTCTAGGAAGTACAAAATACTCTTTCATTAGTTTTTTCTCAATACTCTCTGTGGAGGCTTCTGCGTGAAGAAAATCAATGCACTCTGCTAGTCACTTATTTTCATTTAGGTGCCCATTAACTGGTACACATAAAAAAATGACACACACAGCAAAGGGGCTTGAGAACCCGGCCTTTTGCCTCTGCACAGGGGAGCTAAAACTGCTTAGAACACAAGTGAGCTGCACTCTGTCATCTCACTAATGGATGCCTCTTCACCTTACCCGAAGCACCAGCCAATTTAGTCACCTTGTACTCAGGAAGGGAATAGCAGGGGATGTTAACAAATCAGAGTTGAGGCGCACTGGGAAAGTCTGTGGTGGAAACTTGCACAGCATTTGCCATCACTGTTCCTCATTCTAGCCAACTTTAGCAGGCATGAAAAGGCTCGAGAAAACAAATAATCAGATTCCAATTACAGAGCAGTCTTGTGTCAGTTTACTGTGGGCAAGAGCCCCTCTTCTATCAAGCAAGACAACAGTAAAATAATTCAATAAGATACCTTGGCCAGAAAGCAAACAACTTTGTTTTTAGTTTCTTCAGAATTAAGGCACTGAGGAACTACATCTTCATGCTTTGTTGTCTGTCAAAGGTTTTGAGCAAGAAAAAGTTGGTTAGTATATTAACGTTCAATGCAGCCATAATAAAGATGAACCGTAGAGCATCTACAAAACAATCTGGAAAATGTTCTGTGTTGAGGATGGGGGGGGGGGGGGGGGGGGTGGTATTTAAAACAATACTGGAAATCTGTTCTTCCTTCACTTCCACTTCCTAGGGCCACTGTATTTCTCTTGCATTTTGTTAATCCTTTTATTTTCGTGCAATAGCATATGGAATACGGAGGTCAGTTTCAAGCATTTTGCTCCAGGATAGATACTGACAAAGTGGAGGGAGTTCAGAGAAGAGCAACAACAGTTAAGATGCTAGAGGAACTGATATACAAGGAAATATTAACAGAGCTAAATATGTACATCCAATGTGGTGTCATTCTTACCTCTGCAAACTGAGTGAATGCCTCCAGTGCATGTTGGTAAATCAGCCAAGTCTTGTCGGCCAACAAAGAGGCAAAGAGATATGACAGCTTGGGTATAACTTGCCCCTGAAAGGGGAGCGCACATTAGTCAGATTTTTGTGGAGGGCTAATCAGCATATCCTGCCCCCTTGATTCATCATTAAAGAAATATTTCTGTCAGAAGCCTAGAGTCTACAGGTCGAGAAAGTCTGCAACAGCCTTGGTTGGCAAAAAACATAGTAAGAGAGAACATGTACACAAAACCCATTCCTTCCCATCTGGAGCTCAGACATCAGCCCTTCTGTCAAGCTCCTGGGAAATAATATACAAATGAATGCACCCAGCATCCTACAGGCAATGCGAGTAACCGAAACAGTCTCACTAGAATATAAAACTGCCATAGAAGTAGTATGTCCTGGTTTGAAAATAAATGTCTCCAAGAACCAGTGCCACTGTACTACATATTCCATGACCACAACCCATTAATAATATATACGAATGGCTCAGGACAAAATGTTGCCTCCAGTGCATTTACCTGAATTTCTTGTGGCATAAACAATTTCCCCATAGAAGAGAGAAGATCCAGTGCTGCCAAGCGAACATGATCTGGGGGATCCAACTCAAGGAGGGAAGTCTGCATTGCAAACACCTGCAGGAAAATAGATCTGGATGAAGCCCCATCAAATAAGAAACAAATAAGACAAAAACTCTGTTCAACTGGGGATTGCAATGACCATCAAGTCTGAGTTCATTCAAAGCTAGAGAGAGTTAGATCAGGACAATGGATGCATCAATGGAACAAAAGCAAGTATCCCAGAGCTTTTCAAAATGTTACCCTCCAAAAAAATAAAAAAATGGAATCCTTACATAAAAGCCCAAAGTGCATTTGAAAGAGAAACATACATCATACACCATCACTGCCCTAAGCCCAGCGAAAAAAATGAGACTGTGAAAGTCCCAAAAGTGATGTGAACCAATGTGTAGCAAACACCATAGCAAAGCCATCAAAACGGTGTAGGAAGGAATCAAAATAAAAGTTAAGAACTCTTCATTCTTGCTAAGTGGTAGAAATCAGACCATGAAACAACTCATTAGATGTGATCTCATTTAATAACAAAGATCCAGCATGCATGAGGTAGATTGCACAAAAAGATGTCTCTTACCTGAGTTATCAGTTGAGGGTCTAATGTTTGGATGAAAAATTCCAGTAGTGGAAGGAGCAAGCAAAGTGTCTGCTGGAGGCATGGCTGACTTGAGACCTGCACCAGATCAGAAGAGCATATTATTTAGCATCATAGCACTTCTGTTTACAAGGCAATTTAACTGGTTTATAAAAAGCACGAGACTGCAAATATTGTGCCCAAAGCATTTAACTTCAGACAAATACAGTATAAGCACAGATACAATTCCCATGAGAAGCAGTGAGGAAGGCTAGAAGTCTAAATACTAAGAGGGGCAAACTAGAGTGCCTGGTGTTAAGTGAGGATATTGATATATTAGATATTGTAGAACCTCAGTGGAATGAGGAACATCAATGGGATGTGGTAATACCAGGGTACAAAATACATAGGAATGACAGAGTAGGTCATGCTGGTGGGGGAGTGACATTATATTGAAAAAAAGCACAGAGTCAAATGAAGTAAAAGTCTTAAATGAATCAAACTGTACCATAGAATCTCTATGGATAGAAATTCCATGCTTGAACAACAAGAGTATAGCAGTAGGAAAGTACTATCAACCACCTGACCAGGATGGTGACAGTGACTGTGAAACGTTCAGGACAATTAGGCTACAAAGGCAGAAAATGTAATAATAATGGAGGATTTCGACTATCCTCATACTGACTGGGTACATGTCACCTCAGGACAAGATGCAGAGATCAAATTTCTAGACACCAACAATGACTGCTTCATGGAGCAGCTAGTCCTGGAACCCGCAAGAGGAGAGACAATTGCTGATTTAGTCCTAAGTGGAGCACAGGATTTGGCCCAAGAGGTGAATATAGCTGAACCACTCAGTGACAGTGACCATAATGTAATTAAATTTATCATCTTTGTAAGATGGAAATTACCAATGAAACTCGCCTCAGTAGCATTTAACTCAAAATGGAGAGCTATACAAAAATGACAACGCTAGTTAAATGAAAATTAAAAGGAAGAGTCATAAGGGTGAAATGGCTGCAAACTGTATGGAGACTATTTAAAAACATCGTAATAGAGGCTCAAACTAAATGTATACCCCATGTTAAAAAACAGTAGACGGAACCAAAAAAATGCCAGCATTGCTAAACAGCAGAGTAAAAGAGGCAGTTAGAGACAAAAAGCCATTCTTTAAAAATTGGAAGTCAAATCCTACTGAGGAAAATAGAAAGAAGCATAAACTCTGGCAAGTCCAGCATAAAAGCATAACTGGGTTAAAAAAAGAATTAGCTAAGTTCCTGCAGGATAGGTCCATCAATGGACCCAATCCTCTAGGTGTCCCTAAACCTCCAACTGCCAGAAGCTGCAACTGGACGACGGGATGGATCACTCGATAATTGCTCTGTTCTGTTCATTCCCTCTGAAACATCTGGCACTGACCACTGTCAGAAGACTGATACTGGGTGAGATGGATCATTGGTCTGACCCAGTATGGCCACTCTTATGTTCATGATAATCAAAGAGGAGGAAAAAAGAATTGTTTAGGATGGTTGCATATTATAGGATGCTCTACTAGTGATATTTTTATTTAAAATCTATGGCATTTGTATCCCGCCCCTCTCACAGAAACCAAACAAGTGTGTCTCAACCTATTTTCTCCATAACCATTTGGCAAATAGTTATTCTCCCTCTCCCCCCACCACCCACATCTGAGCACAAACGATGACGACTCCCCTGACTGCACCTTCAAAAGCGGCAAGTTAAAGAAGTATGGGCTGGATGAATGGACTATACGGTGGATAGAAAGCTGGCTAGATTGTCGGGCTCAACGGGTAGTGATCAATGGCTCCATGTCTAGTTGGCAGCTGGTATCAAGCGGAGTGCCCCAAGGACTCCACCCTCAGCAAGTTTGCAGATGACACTAAACTGGGAGGAATGGTAGATACGCTGGAGGGTAGGAATAGCATACAGAGGGACCTAGACAAATTAGACTATTGGGCCAAAAGAAATCTGATGAGGTTCAACAAGGACAAGTGCAGAGTCCTGCACTTAGGACGGAAGAATCCCATGCACTGCTACAGACTAGGGACCGAGAGGCTAGGCAGCAGTTCTGCAGAAAAGGACCTAGGGGTTACAGTGGACGAGAAGCTGGATATGAGTCAATAGTGTGCCCTTGTTGCCAAAAAGGCTAATGGCATTTTGGTTGTATAAGTAGGGGCATTGCCAGCAGATCGAGGGACGTGATCATTCCCCTCTATTCGGCATTGGTGAGGCCTCATCTGGAGTACTGTGTCCAGTTTTGGGCCCCACACTACAAGAAGGAAAAATTGGAAAGAGTCCAGCGGAGGGCAACGAAAATGATTAGGGGGCTGGAGCACATGACTTATGCGAAGAGGCTGAGGGAACTGGGATTATTTAGTCTGCAGAAGAGAAGAATGAGGGGGGATTTGATAGTTGTTTTCAACTACCTGAAAGGGGGTTCCAAAGAGGATGGATCTAGACTGTTCTCAGTGGTAGCAGATGACAGAACAAGGAGTAATGGTCTCAAGTTGCAGTGGGGGAGGTTTAGGTTGGATATTAGGAAAAACTTTTTCACTAGGAGGGTGGTGAAGCACTTGAATGGGTTACCTAGGGAGGTGGCGGAATCTCCTTCCTTAGAGGTTTTTACGGTCAGGCTTGACGAAGCCCTGGCTGGGATGATTTAGTTGGGGATTGATCCTGCCATGAGCAGGGGTTGGACTAGATGACCTCCTGAGGTTCCTTCCAACCCTGATATTCTATGATTCACATTAGTAATGGATTAAAAAAACACGGGCCAGACCCTCAGCTGGTATAAACTGGAATAACTCCACTGAAGTCAGAGTCTTCCCACAGTTCAAATAAAGTCAATGGAGTTACACTGATTTACAACAGCTGTGGATCTGGCCTTATACATTTAGATCTTGGAAGAAAGAACAGTAATCACTAGATTTGAACACTGTAAAGGAAATTCTGACTTTATCAAATGTCTCTATGTTCTTTTTTCACCAGTGCAAGGAGTTAAACACATGTTGTTTCTACAGAAGATGGTTATGTTCTGTTTTCTGCACAACCACATCCCTCGCCTGAGCTCAGAATAGTGCTTTTGCAGGCAGTTCAGTGCCAAACAGGGCCAGAATTAATCCAATTCTCATCACAAGGAAATCCTATATTACCTTTGTTTGTTCTTAGTAAAATAAGGTCATTAAGTTATCCCTACTGGCTGGTTCATCTGGTTCTATTAATTTGTTTTTTCCCCATTTCTGGGGTTCAATCCCCTTTCTAGACTCGTTTTAGACAACAGTCCATCTAAAACTGATGTGGGGTAATATATGACTCATCACTACATGGACAGTTCCAGCTACATATCACTGGGGGCAAACGTGCTTGTGGGAAGAATTCAATCCCCAAAGCACTGGCAATGGCTCAGACACCATGATGTTTGAAGCTCAGGGACTCAGCTGCACTGCGCTTTAGGGAGTTGCTCCAACCCCAGTTAAATGCTTTGGTAACACACAAATGGTGGAACATCATGAGCCCTTCAGGGTAGCGATGCCTTACATTGTTGGACCAGTGAGTTCCCTCACCTGCTTGCCCTTGAGGAGAGCCCAGAGCTGACTAGCAGCTCCCAACGCTGCTGCCTGTAGTCCTGCCTCCAGAGTGTCGCCAGCAGAATTGCACACAGTCAGCAAGACAGAGAGAGCAACGTTCTAGCAGAGATGGAGAGAAGGGTCAGGAGCAAGGTAAATACCTGGCCTACTGGATTCAGCTGCTAAAGCCTCACAAGAGGCCCAATGTGTCAGTAATGTAATTCTGCTAGTCCACTATAAGCCAACTCATGCCACCTTCACAGAGCAAACTCCCACTGACTTCAGTAGGAGTTCTGCACAAATAAGGAGGGGAGGGTTTAGCAGTCTTATTAATCACCACATAGGAAGCAGAACCCTGAATTGCTGGCCTTTTAGGTGGAGGTGTCCAGTCACACTCAACTCTCCTTAGGTTGTCAAGGAAAACCAGTGCTTGTCTTTCAGGTATGCCAGCCTCCGAGAACAGCAGAGACCTTATCACTTAAAAGAAATCTTCTAGCCGAAACCACACCAGAAGTCTAAGTGAGAACACTGTATGTATGCTCGGCAAGAGATCAAAAAATAATGAAAATAATTATTGATCCGCAGAGCTTCCGCTAACTATTGTTAGCGGACACATGAGACGTGAACACAACGTTGCAAGGGAGGCACTATATGCCCAAAGATGAGCTCTTTCTGATCCAAAAGATTTTCAAAAATAGGAGTCTAAAGTTAGGTTCCTAATTCCATATTTGGGCACCTAAATGAGCAACCTGCCTTTCAAAAATGCCAAATAGCCACTCCCATTGTGGCTGCCAGAGCTGTTCAGTAATCAGCCCTCTGGAAAGTTGGTCAAAAGTTGAAACTTAGTTCTCCCTTTGACACAGGAGTTATCTGACATTTTTGCTACTAAGAATTATTAGCCTGCATTTACTGGGGGAGAGGGGAGAAGATAGCTCTCTTCATAATATTGTACTGCAGTGACTCCTAGAGGCCTAGATCAGGGCCCCACTGTGCTACACCCTGTACACATACATAGGCCAGGTCTACACTACACACTTACTTCGCTATAACTATGTCACTCAGGGGTGTGAAAAATCCACACCCTTGAGCGACGTAGTTACACCAATCTTAGCCCCCCCCGTAGACAGTACTATATTGGCAGGAGAGCGTCTCCTACCGATATAGTTACTGCCTCTTGGGGAGGTGGAGTTAGTAAGCCAACCGGAGAGCTCTCTCCCATCGGCTTTAGAGTGTCTTCACCAGAAGCGTTACAGCAGCGCAGTTGAATCGGTGCAGCTGTGCCATGCAAGTTTGTAGTGTAGACCTGCCCATAATAAAATGACACTCCCTAGTCCAGAGAGCTTGCAATCTAAACATACTGTAAGGGTGCACAATAGGGGAAGAGTAACAATAGGCTCCTTATCGCTTAGGAGCTCTAGGTTTAATGAACAGAGTCACACCTTCCCTTACCACAGGTGGGAGTTCTCCCAGAGTGCACCTGCCGCTCAGCCACTGCCTGCATTGTGTGAGCCCCACCGCACAGAGCTGGTGCGCCACTTGTTTCCTAAGATCGGGAGTTAGGGCCTTGAGAGAAATATGCTGCCACAGGAGCAGGTTCTCTGCTTCTTTGGGAGGAAACTTTTGGGTAAACTCCACCTGCAAGTCAAAGTAAATGTTAATTAAAGAGATCAGGACAGAACCTGGAAGTGATGAGTTGCAAAACCTACAAACTGTACCTTGATTTGTGCTACTCTTGACAGTTGACAAGGAGCCCCACATGAGGTGTGTGAGAATGATCTACTGAGGCAGTGTGATTCAGCAAATGGTACTCTCAACCATACGGGGGGATAGCAACAGAGAACAGGGGCCAGATCCTCAGCAAGCAAAAATCTGCTTTGCTCCACTGAAGTCACTGGAGCAATGACAACTGAAGATCTGGCCACAGAAGTTTGGGGAACAATTCCCCATGGAAAGCAGTCTGATGTTGGGCTCCCCGTCACTAATCAATCTCCCTACTACTGAAGAGCCCATTCCTGCTTACATTTACTCACTGAGTAACTTTATCCATGTGAGCAGACCAATGGACTTCACCGAGAGTTCTAAAAGTGCCTCAGGGTTCGCAGGGTCAGCCCTTTAACTCCTAGTCCAAAAGTTTGCAGCAACCAAGGTTGATCCCCTTTGACTTTTTTACAGATTTGCAGCTCAGCAGGGAAATGCCACCATTCCCACACTGGACACTTGCTTTTGTAAAGCTTGGTGCAGACATACCATAGAGGAGCATACTAATATAAAACACTGACAAAATCATAAATGTTTTGCTATTCAGCCTTTTCTTATGAAGCATGTGGAGGCTGATTCCCAAGCAACTAAACCACTTAGCTGAGTATCCTTTTTACCCTAGTGATTTCCTGTGTACCATTTATTAATTTACCTCAGCATTGTTGTTTTTTGTTATTACTATTTAACTGTCATTTATTTGCAACCAACACGCCTATTGTGCCTTTAAACATTATACATACAGCTATGGTCTCCCTTTATACTGTGACTCAAAAGTGATCTAGTCATTATTAGAATAAGTAGAGTTAACTCTCACGATCTCTCAACTGGGAAACAGTCTAAAACACAGGGAAAATAGCAAAACAAACTCAAAGCAAAGCTGGATCGATAATAAGGAAAAACTAAAGTGGTAAGAGAAAGCACTTCTGGGACAGCACGGGCTGAGTTAGTTATTAAGGTAACCCCCTGTGTCCTTTCTGTATTGGTATGTTATCTTTTGCTCTGCTTTATCATCTCACAACATCAGGATGGCAAGAAACCACTGTTTGCTCCACCCTCCTGTTTCTAGTGAACTGAAAATGGATGGCTTGTGTTTTAATGGAGGCCAATTGGATTTCTATCTGGCTTAGCAGAAGACCGGAGAAATTGGTGCTATACTTGCCTGGTGGTCTGGAGACATCAAGAACAGCATACGCCTCAGCAGGACCCCCAAGACAGAGAGCTGGTAACACTCGCCAGGGCAAGACTTTATCTGAATTAGGATAACAGGGAATTGATCTAATCAAATTAAGAAAAATACACTGCTCCCAGCACATGAATCCTACAGGTTGGCATTTTCAAAGACTCAAAGACTTTTGTGACTCAGGAAAATGACCTAAAAAATTAATATTGAGCCTCTGTTTAGGCAGCAACAAATTTTCCTCTTACACCAAAGATTACATTTCCCTTTATAATCAACACATCCCAATGAGTGATCACTGGTAGTTCATCACCATTACAATCAGGTCTTTCCCTGCATTACATGCCATCTATTAGTTTACTGTTTTCTACTTCATGGTGCTATTTTTAATGGATATGTATGCTACTTTGCTCTTATTTATCCTTGGGGCATCTCACTGAATTCTTCTCTGTCCATTCCTCTAATTTATCATATAGGATCACTATAGTAACTTCTAAATTAGCAGCTCTTGCATCAGTTTTGCAGTGTCTGTATATTTCTCACCCCTTCCTTCAGATTGTTTACCTACATCACCACTAAATATATTTATAGTGTTACAAGTGCTAATTATTAACCCTCGGGAGGGAGGGATTTTCCCGAGGGAGGGAGGGATTTGCTGATAGCAAAGATGGAGCACAGAAAGGATGAGAAAATTGTCCAAGGTCACTTATGAAGTTTGCAGGAGAGCTGGAGTTAGAACTCAGGTCTCCTTACTCCCTATCCCTTGCATGATCTGTTAAAAAAAAGCAGAAAACCTGTCTGCCCAAACACACACATGTACATGCATACACGGGACTCTGCCACGCTACTCACCAAATGGGCTATCACAAAGATGTGATGAGCACACAATTCAGCCGTTCCATACCTGGGATGCAACAGAGAGAGGTCAGTAAGCCAATTAGCACAGCTGCCCTGTTCTGCTGGGTCGGAGAGAGTAGTTTGCACTCTGCCACACAAAGCAGAGAAATGGTTTTTCCTAAGGGCCTCTGTATATTTCATTTGCCAGAAGAAAATTCCAAAGCCATTCTGTGGCCAGAGAATCAAGGAATATAGAGGATGTGCATTAGCAGGGGGAAATATGACCCACCTTTTGCGGATCAAAACATAGGACCACTATACGACCAGTGTAGCATTAACCATGATTGCAATGCAAGAAGAAAAAAAAAAAGACATGTATACACAAGTACACAGTACATGGATGATAAATGCACACTGTTGATGTTAATCAAATAAATAATAAATTAAAGTAAGTGTTGTAGAGTGAAGAGAACTTGTATAAAATTTGTAAGTTGATACAGATACACTGGACCATTATAACAATGATATTAATGTAAATATATGGAAATGAAAGTTACATGATACTAGTGAAATATATCTAAGGTTGGTGAAAAATGTTATGTTAATATATTATTTGAGAAACGGTCTGTGATCTTGTCTTTAAACACTAATGCACAATGCATGTGCACCAGGGGACAAAGTTTTAAGTGGCAAGTGCATCCTTAGTAGTGGCATATTGTGACTTGGGTGCTCAGCTGCACAACATTAACGTCCTTTAGCTGGAGATTTTTTGGTATGGAATTTCCTAAGGCTGGGTTGTTTTTCAAAGAAAAAATACCCCTAGAAGCAGCAGCACCTCCACGTTACAGGATTTCGAAGCTCTGTTGACTTGCCAAAATTTGCCAGTCCCACATGGAAATTCAATAGTTCGGCCAGATCCCACCAGAATGTCCTGTCGCACACACTTTACAAGGACTGTAACAGAAAGCCCCTCTTCTGAGAGACTTAGCAGCTGCACAGCCGAGGAGGTGCATTGCAAGAGCCCTCCCTCAAGCCTTTCTCATCCTTTTCCTTCAGCCCAGTCAAAATAAAGCCTCATGGAGCATTAAAGGTTCTCTCTCCTCAGAGATGGCCATTTCCATGCCACATTTAAACTTGCTACCCACAGGCCTCCACTGTAGAGCTGTTAGAAAAAAAATGTCAAGAAATCTTTTATAAAAGTATGTTTTCCCCTCATGCTGGAAAAACAGCTGAACCATTTCTGCTCATGTTTTCCAAAATAAGCTACATTTTTGAGCAGAGACCAACCCTGGAACATGGCTGCTCTACAAGTTAAACTTTCTGAGAATTATGAGCAATTCAAACCATGCAGTTAGGAAGCCAATGCTCATGCAGCCTGAACAATACAGTGCATCGCTCCTTGCCCTACAATAATTGGGTATCTTACCGGGCCAGGAAGCACCATGAATCCATAGCCAGTAGAGAGGTGATCATACTAGAACCAAGGACTGCATCCAGCAGAGCACACTCCTGAGGAAAGAATAGAGAAGACACTTATGAACAGATTGCAATTCTACTCTCTACTGTTAATCCACTTACTAGTGTGACACATAATTAGACTAACAAGGTGGGTGAGGTAATATCTTTTATGGACCAACTTCTGTTGGTGGGAGAGACAAGTTTTTGAGCCACTCAAAGCTCTTCTTCTGGTCAAGCTTGTCTCTCTCACCAACAGAAGTTGATCCAATATAAGATATTACCTCACCCACCTTGTCTCTCTAATATCCTGGGACCGACATGGCTACAACTACACTGCATATAGAATTAGACTTGTCAGTTTGTGCAGTTAAAATGCCTAGGAGCAAACTGGCTTTAATATCGCATGTTCAGTTATAAAGGCAAGCAAGCAACACTAGGTTTATTTTTAACATTGGCCATGTGTGAAAATTTACTACAGCTGGTTGAAAATTTCAAAAATTTTCAATGAAAAATAGGGTTAATTTTTTTGCTAGAATTTTGGACAAAAAAGAGGGACAAATTTTTCATGAAAATTTTATCCTTTTTGGGGGGCAGATCTAAACTTAACTTAAGACCAAACGCTATCCTTATTCAGTACTTAGGCAGGCAAAACATCTGATTGCCTCGGTAGGAGTTTACTCTGAGTGAGGAATTCAGGTGTTAGTCCTAATTTTTTGTCTGAAAAGATTTTTTTGTATTATTTATAGAAACATACACACACAAGGCTATGCCTTCCTGGACTTATTAGGGGTCGCTTGCTGGAGGATTCTCTGCGACTTGAAGTCTTTAAATCATGATTTGGGGACTTCAATAGCTGAGTCAAGGGAGAGAATTATTGCAGGAGTGGGTGGGTCAGCTTTTGTGGCCTGCATCATGCGGGAGGTCAGACTAGATGATCATAATGGTCCCTTCTGACCTTAAAGTCTATGAGTCTATGAGTCTAATACTTTGCATTTATATAGTGTCCTTTATTCTGTCTACCTGTATATACTATCCCAAACATAGGGGAATTTCATAAGATCTCAAAGCACTATAAAAACATTAATGACTTAAGCCTCAGAACCCTCCTACAAAGGTAGATAACTACTTATTTCCCTTTTATGGCACAGGATTGAACTGGATCACAAAAATACAGTGGTAGACTAGTAGGCCACTGCTCTGATCACTAGATAACACTTCCTCATTTACGTGCACTGTGAATGAGTAAAACACTGACAAACTTAATACCCTTGGCTCATGGAATTGTAAATTTCCAGCCAGGTGGCCCCAAATTGAAGGTGGAGAACCAAAAGACTTTCAGCCTATGTTACAGTAGTTTTGATGGCCTATCCTCTAGGAGATAAAATCTGAAGCTGGAATTTCTGAGTCTTAGGGAGGTGATCACCTTCAGAACTTGTATTAAAAGGAAGTATTAAACAGCTTTTTTAAAGAAGCTGGATTTTTGCACTCCTTTTGTGGTTTTACAAACAGATTTCTAATACAACTGAGGTCTCCAACCATGATTATACAGTTGTTTTTGGTAAATGACATTTGCTGCACATTTGCAGTCTTACTTGCCTTGTATCTGGCTTCTGAAGTAAAGCGAAACCAATTCATGCCTGGACACATCACCTTTGGAGCTCGGTGTGTGAGGAAGGGGACACTTTTTGAAAAAGTTAAAATCCACCAGAAGGAAACAGCTGAAAAGGTGATCATGGCTAAACCAAAAATCAACCTACCAGCTGAGGAAAGTGTGATGGGGGTGTGGATGCAATGAAGGCACACAAGTGGACACAGAAGTGGTGATACAGGGTGACAGGAACCTCAGCTTGTCCATTATCCATCACTCCAGGCAAACAAACAGGAAGAGAGAGCTCACCAGAGCACTGCTGGAAACCGAGAAAAAGGGCTGAGAACAAAGAGAGCCTGCAGAACAATGAAAGAGTGGGGTTACTGCTGTCCACACCTCACACCCCAAGAACAAACATCTGAGCTAGGGGAACTCCTTGTCTCCTGTTGGGAGCTGTGGCAATAACACCAATATTTTTACAGTAACAAATTTACAACTCTGATTAACTTTCTGTTTATAAACTCAGGTGATTAGCAGAGGCTTTTGGGGTTGTAACAGGGTACACTGGCCCTTTACAATTAGAGGGGCCCAGGAGATCCTGTTCCAGGGACATTGGAATAAACAGAGGCCCTAGAAATGGCCTTGTAGCAAGAAGAGAGGAAGCAATCCTGGGGAATTAGTACTTGGTTAGGAAAAATCCAGTCACTGTCCCTTTAAGGGCCAGGATGAGAAGCCCTGTAGTATAGGATTGGGCAGGCTCCCCTCTCCCCTAACCAATCAGGGGGAAGATCTCCGAAGGAGCACAGTATATATATTACTCTCACTCTCTCAGAACAGAGAGTGAGTTGACAGGGAGAAGGAAGCCAGAGCCAGGAGACTGAGCTCCCACTAGGAAGGACAGGACTGGCAACTCCGTGAACAACAGTCTGGGGTAGAATAAGAGCTCTGCGTACAGCAAAAGAGCGGGAAGTGAGCATGAACTTTTGTGTTGCTGTAATTAACTTTATTCTGGGGACACTGAGAATTACTCTGAACTGCTTTCATCTATTCACACAACCCCAGGTGGTGGGTGGAGGCATCCTGAGAAAGACTGCGGGGAGTTCCCAAAGGGACCCAGGGGAAGCACAGAGTCAGGGCACTGCTGAGGCACCTCTGGCCATGAGGGGGCGCTCAGTAAATGGCATGCCTGCTACAGGGAAATAAATAAACACGCTGACATGAGGGAAAGTTGACCAATTTTGGAGATAAAAACAAATTCGACCCTGAGGGCCTTCCACATCCTTGCATGAGCCCAAAGGCCATCCTTTCTCTCAACTGACCAGTGCATCTCTGCTTTGTACTGTGCACCCTTGAGGAATTACATCACATCCACCAGCACATATGGCCAAGGATCAGACAGTGCGCCCTCAGAGCCTGCTAATGCTACTGATTTGCTAGCTTGAGGGGCCTCTTGCACCTGAACCTCCATGTCTGCCTCTGCAGCTTGACTGCTGTAGGCAAAAATTACCTGGGAACCTCTGCTGAGAACTGGCTTCCTGTGGTCCAGAGAGCCTGCACAGCCTCAGACTGAGAGGGCAGCTTGTCCATTATGGTAACCAGAAGATGACACTGCGGCAGATGCAACTCAGGAGAAAGATCTGCAGGGAATTTTTTTTTTTTTTAAAGTGAAGTACATTTGCATTTGTAGAGGACATTTTTGATGGAATCAAAACTAAGCTAGGGCGAGTGATTAACAACAGAAGACTGAGTGAAAAGTACATTAATGCTGCTAATGAAGCTTAAAAGTCACTCAGAGATGGAGCTGGTTGGAAAATGGAGGGGAGGTGGAGTCCCAGAGAAAATGTCATGTTTTCAGCAAAATATAACTAATCACAATATTTTATCCAAAAAAACAAAGAATTTTGATTCAGAAATGCTACTGTAGTGCCTCATGAGACTTGCGGTTAGGGTGCCTTAGGCTCCCATGCTCCTTTATGGCCCTGACTCTATGGTTAGACTAAATTTCCCATGATGCACCATACTCTCCCCTCTTGATGAGAGCCTCATGAGAGTCGCATGGCCACAGTGCGCATCAGGGAAGATGAAGGCTGGCTGGGGTAGCCCAGTATAGCACACAGAGGAGAACAGGAGCATGAGGCACCTGAACTACAACTCCCAGGATGCACTGTGGCAGCATTTCAGAGATATTTTATTTTCTGGTTGAAATATTTTGGGTTTGGCTGAAAACCG